ATGTCCTAGCCTACATCTTCCAAGTACTAGAGTCAAAGGTGTGTGCCACTATGCCTGGCTTATGCAGTGCTGCAGATGGAGTCGGAGCCTCCTCATGCTCGGCAAGCGCTCTGCCAACTAAGCTTCATCCATAGCCCCCAGTGCAGAGATCTTGTGTATCTTTTGTTAAGTCCTTTTATTTTTTTTTTTGTCTTTTTGAGACAGGGTCGCCCTATAGCCCCAGCTGGCCTGGAACTCACTATGTAGGCCTGGCTGGCTTCAAACTCACAGAGATCCACCTGCCTCTGCCTCCCAAGTGCTAGGATAGGATCAAAGGTGTGCACCACCATGCCCGGCTTTGGTTATGTACTTTTAAAACACTGCTGTAAATGGTACTGTTCCTTTCATTTTGATTTTTTTTAGATTTTATTTCTAATTGTGTATGTATGTATGTCTGTGTGTATACCATGGTGTAGTTGTCCTCGGAGGCCAGAAGAGGGTCTTGGAACTGCTGGAGCTGAGTTACAGGAACTTGTGAGCTATACAGTGTAAGTGCTAGGAACCAAACCCAGGTCCTCTGCAAGAGCAGTACATGCTCTTAACCGCTGGGCCGTCTCCCCAGCCCCACTAGCTTTGATTTCTAGCTATTCGTGATGAACAGTAATACAATTTTCTTTTTGTTTTGCAATCGGGTCTGGCTATGTTGCCCAGGCTGGCCTTGAGCCACACCTAGTTGCAATCCATTGCTATATGTGGACCTTGTGTCCTGAATTCTTGCTCAACTTCTCTATTAGGTAGGTTTTATTTTGGGGGTGGGGAGGATTTCCTACATAAAGAATCCTGTCATCTTTGAATGAAGGTTATTTTATGTCTTTTATTCCTTCCTGTGGCTAATTGCACTGGCTGGGCCCTCTAACACACTGTTGAATAAAGCAGGGAGGAAAGATGCTTTCCCTGCTGCTGATCTGCTTGGTACAGAGTTCATCTTTCATCATTAATTATGTCAGCAGTAGGTTTTAAAATGTGCTCATTATCAGCTTGAGGGAAGTTCCTTTCTACTCCTAATTTGCTTACATTTTTATAATCATAATTGAGTGCAGAATTTTATCACTTTTTCCACATGAATCAAGATAATTATATCACTTTAACTCTTATTGTGTTGATTCAGTGGATTGCAGAGATTCATTTTCAAATGTCAAGCCAACCCTGTGATTCTGGGAAGAGCCCCACTTGGCCATGACACGTCACTACTTTTAGATCTTGCTGGGTCTGATTTGCTAACAAAGGACTTTTGCATCTGATGTTGATCTGTGTTGTTCTTCAATTTGCTCTTTTTGTGCTGTCAGATCAGCTGTATTCATAACACAAATGGCAAAGTGTTCCTTCCATATTTGGAAAGAACGGCTGTAAGACTGGTATCACTTCTCCCTTGGACTACGCTATAAAACTATAGGCGGCCGAGGCTTTGTAAGGTGTTTTTGACAATATACTCAGATATGTGTGTGTGTATGCATGCATTTCCCTTATATAGAGAGGTGTGTATCTCTAACATATACGTACACACACACACATATATACACATACCTTTAACATCAGTAGATATATATGGTATATGTCTGTGTGGGGGTATGTGCATGTGAATACAGGTGCCTGTGGAGGCCAGAGGCCAGATGGATCCCCCACAGCTGGATTTACAGGTGGTTATGCATTCTTGATGTGGGTGCTTGAAATGAACTTGGGTTCTCTACAAGAACAGGATGCATTTTTAACCACTGCTCCATCTCTCCAACCTCCAGACTTTCCTTTTTCAAAGTGTGATTAAATATATATGCTTAATTTATATGGAGTGGAGTTAATATTGTACTATGGTGTGAAAAGCACAGAATCAATGCTGTAATTCCATGAACTCCTGTGCTCTTCGTGCTATGCTATTACACTTACATCTACATACATTTTAAAATACCAAAATACAGTATTTTTTCTGCTTTAAGCATTTCTATGTATTTTTCCATTAGAAGAAAAAATATAGTATTTTATGCTTATCCAAATATTTATCATCACCAGTACTTTGTTTTGTAGACTTAATTTATTATCTAGTATAATTTCCTATAATCCTAAAAATATTTCCTCACTTTTTTTTTTTAGATTTCTCAAGCATCTGTAAAGTTTTTATTCTTTTGAAGGTCTTTTTTTTCTTCATTAAATTTTTTTCTAGATATATGCTGGGAGTGGTGGCACAGGCCTTTAATCTCAGCAGTGGGGAAGCAGAGGCAGGTAGATCTCTGTGAGTTCGAGGCCAGCCTTGTCTGTATAGTGAGCTCAAGGCCAGCCTGGTCTGTATAGTGAGTTTGAGGCCAGCTAGGGCTACATAGTGAGACCCTATCTCAAAATTAGAAAAGAAATTATTTTAGATATAGAATTCCTGGTTGACAGCTTTGTCTGGTAACTCTTGGGAAATGACCTCAGAGCGTCTCATCACACAGGGCTGCTGCTGCTGGGAACCGAGGCATCGTTCATGTCATTGTTCTCCCACGCAACCCGACCATCGCGCCTGCTGCTGTCAAACGTAGATCTTGGAACCCAGGTGTCCAGCTATGATGTGTTTCCGCATAGTTTTCTTTGTTTCTGTTCTGTTTGAGTATTTTGAATCTGGAAGTTTACTCTGCCCACAGATTTGGGGAGTTTGGGGCCAGTATCTCTTCCAATAATTTTTCTGCCATCTCTGTTTTCTTTGCCTTCTGGAACTCCAATTCTACCAGTTAGACTGCTTGATACTGTCCTGTGAGACTCTGTGTCTCTGTTCATTTTATTTTCCTTCTGTTTTTCAGATTAGATAATTCCTGTTGCTCTATCTTCAAATTCTCTAGCTCTTCAGTCTTTTGTTTCTGGCCTGCTACTAGATGTGTCTGGTGAGTTTTTCATTTCAATGATTTATCTTTCATCTCTAAAACTTCCTGTGATGGCCGATCTTCAGTGTCAACTTGACTGCACCTGGAATTAATTAAACTACAAGGGACTTTCTCGATCAGATTATTTGAAGCTGGGAGATGACCCTAAATGTGGGTGGCACCCTCTGGTGGCAGCCCAGACAAAGGGACAGGGCAAAAGGGAGCTTTTCACTTTTTGCCTGCTTGCCTTCACTCTCACTTGCCAGTTTATCTGTCTTGATGCTGTGGCATTTATTTGCCAATATTAGAAGGTAATTCTTGGTGTTATGCATCAGACTGGGATTGATGAGACATCCAGCCTTGTGGACTGAGCAACTATTGGATTCTCAGCTTTTCCAGTGTGTGTAGCCATTGTTGGGTTACTCAAATTCTATCCTGCAAGCTAATCTAACAAATTCTCTCTCTCTCTCTCTCTCTCTCTCTCTCTCTCTCTCCATTTTATCAGTTCTTTTCCTTTAGAGAACCCTAACATACTCCCATTTTGTTCTTTTAAAAAATAGTTTTGTCTTCTGAGATTCTCTTCTCTGTTCGTTCATTGTGAGTACCTTAAGTCCTTGAATACATTTTTTGTTTGATTTTTGAGACTGTCTCACTATGAAGCCAAGGCTAACCTCAAGCTCACTTACTATGTAGTCCAGACTAGCCTTGAACTCACTATCCTCCTGCCTTAGCCTCCTGAGTGCTGCAAATATAGGTGTTCACCACCATGCCTAAGTTCCTGAGTAAATTTTTTAAATTAAATTTTATTTTTATTTTATGTGTATGAAATAAGTGTACCACATTCATGCAGTGCCCATGGAGGCCAGAAGAGAGTGTTGGATCTCCTGGGACTGGAGTTATGGATGGTTGTTAGCTGCTATGTGGGTGCTGAGAACCAAACCCAGGTCCTCTGCAAGAGCAACCAGTGCTCTTAACCGCTGAGCCATCTCTCCAGCCCTGGATAAATTTTTAACAGTTGCTTCATGGACTTATCTGCTAACTGCAATAGCAACGTCATCTGAGGGTCAATTTCTATTAACTTCTTTAATGTCTTCTTTATGTCTTCATGTCTTCCTATTTCTTCAAGTGTCTTTCAATTTTTTGAATGTTATACATTGTAGAGTCTCTTGATTCTATGATAGTCTTCTAAAGAGTGATTTTCATGCCTGTAGGAAGATAACTTGCCTGGCCTCTCCAGACTGTCAGCTCATGCAGTGAACAGAAGCTGAAGTCTTTCCTTGGTGCTTTTGCTTTTCAGCAAGATTTGTAGGGGTACAGGCAGACTCACTGGGGCTCCCCTACAAGTATAGCTTCATAATCAGTCAAGGATTTGGGCAGAGTTCATACATAGTGCATGGGATTCATCCTTCGCAGTTTGCCTCTCTTTTAAGATTTTCTTCACCACTTCCCAGTTTCTCTGTACACTGAGCTCTTTGACACTGTCTGAGGTGTGTTGAACTTGTGATCCATAATTCCCACGTGGCCACATGCAGCCCAGGACAGCTATGAATACAGCCCAGCGCAAAATCATAAACTTACTTAAGACGTGAGATCTTAGTGAATATATATATATTTTTTACCTTGATTGAGCCTCCGTTCTTCAGCGTGAACTCTGCAGGTGACAATGTCATTTTGCAGCATCAAAAGATCAGACGAGCCTGCCAAGCCACATGGTTAAAAGAGTACCCTCAGGGTCTTAATTTTGGGATTGTATTTTTTCAGCTCTAAAATTTTCACTTGATCTTTTAAAAAAAATAGGTGCTGAAAATATGATGAAATTCTCCACCTTTTCTTACTTTGAGGTGCGTTCCTTATGACTCCAGAGTCTAGACTGTCCATGGATCTACTTATCTGGTCTATTTCTAGACATGTGTTCATTTCCTGTTATACCTGGTAATTCTTTCTTGAATGTGGTTTTTCATGAAAATTATACAAGTTCTCACAAAAAGCTTTGTCTTCTAGATGCCAAGTGGAACACAAGCCAATCACTCTGGGTGGAGAGTCTCCTACCACGTGAGGACACTCCTGCTTCTGGTTTGTTCTTATTCCAAGCGAGTCGCTCTTGGTGGTAAAGCTGGTGGAGGTCCTGGACACCTGCTCTTCCACTTTGACTTTCTTCTTCCTGAGAGCACACCCAGCTTCACTGTGAACAGTCACAGAGCCCTGGAGATTTTTCGGATTCCTTGCCCTCTGCAATACTGGCTCCTCATATCACTTTGGACTTTGAGACATTTTAGAAACCCCAAACTCCAACTGTGTCTGCAAAGCCTAGTGAAACAGGGAAGGCAGGCTTCTGACCCAAGGGGACAGCTGAGGCGAACATGGGACTTCTCTCCAGGTCCTTCTCCTTGGGCTCCAGACCATGATGCTTCTACCTTGGTCAGCTTCCAATACCTTAAACCAATACTTTTGGAGGGAGGGTGAGGCGGCACTCTCTAGTTCATTGTAACAACAGCAACTTCCCCAAGGATGGTCCTACACACGGGCCACTGGGCCACCAGGACGGTCCTGCACACAGGCCACTGGACCACCGTGGCGATACAACCAGCACTATGTGCTTTCCATGACAATCTTGTCAAAGAAGTTCATTGATGGCAAAATTAGGATTTGTTCTTTTAAAAAAACTACATTTTATTTATTTTGTGTGTGTGTGTGTGTGTGTGCACACGTGTGTACGTGTGGGTATGTGATGTGTTTGTGCATGGGCACACACAAGCCACCGTGTGCATGTGGAGGAGAGAGGATAATTAGCAGAAGTCAGTTCTCTCCTTCCATTCGGTGGGTCTTGGGGGTTGAAGACAAGTTGTCAGGCTTGCCAGCAGGCGCCTTTACCTGCTGTGCCATCCTGCTGGCCCTAATTCAGTTTTACTACCTTTAGGATATCCAATATCAAAAGCTTTTCAAAGAGAAATCTCTCTAATCTCTTTTTCAAAGAGAATTTTTATTCCTCGCTGCGCTTAGAACTGAGGTCAATTTCTTTACCCCGCATAGTAGCTTCCATTGTTTTTATTTATATGCATTTTTTGATTTGTGTTTGAGGCAGTTTTAAAATCTTATATTGAAATCTTTGAATTTATGTGAATTGGTAAGCATTATCATACATAAGAACCAATATAACTATTGCTTAGTTTTTGAAAAATGAAATGAGCAAAAAATTATTTTTACCAATTAACTTTGAAAAAGAAAGCAAAATTTTATAATGCAGGATTTAATAACTGAGAGTCAACAACCTGAATTTATCCTTTATCACACAGCCCAGATAATATTGCAATCAATTTAATTTTATACATTGAGAACAGGGTCTTGTTATATAGCCCAGGCTGGCCTTGAGCTCATAATCATGTTCCTTAGCCCCCTAAGTGCTGGAATTACAAGCATGTTATACCACACCCAGCACTCTTAATGTTTTATACAGACAGAGAAAGGATATGATTCCTTGTCCCCTGTGCAACTGGTATAAAGCCTTAAAACAAAACAAAACATCCCTACACACATATCTGTGTGTATACGTACCAGTATATATAGGAACCAATTATTTTTCACATAGTCCCTTCCTAAGCCACCTAAATATCTAACAGGAAGCCTCAGTTAATGCTGGTAACATCTAATTTGGCTTGTATGGAAATTATTCCAAATTTATGGTAATATATTCAGTCAAATACTTGGTAACCCAAAGTAATAAATTATCCACTACTCCTTTAATAACAGGGGCACTTGACCAATGGAGAAGTCCTCTAAAGGTGTGGGTATTTTAACACAATTAACAAAGAGGGAGAGAAGGGACAAAAAGAGGAGAGAAAAGCAGAGAAGCCCCAGAACCTGCCAGGGTTTCCCCTGCTGCTTGGCTCGTTTTGGGGTGCACTCACTTCGCATGGCTAAGGGCTTGAGGCTCCCATCATCCACCGGGCCAATGCTGGGCTGTGCGCCTGTCAGGAGGTCCTTACAGGTGGAGGTCTGTGTCACTGGGCTAAATGCTTTGAAGAGGGTGAGGTATAGAGAGTCTCTACAGAGGACTGGCCATGGGAAGTGGACTCTGACTTTGATGTCCTTAAACTGAGGCTGATCAACTCCTCTTTATCCCTTGGCCAAAATGTTGGTAGTGGTGTCAGTGTTTCAACATTTTTTTGCAGCTGCCTGCTTTTCCTGCAGGATTTGCAAGGGGGTTTCTGTGGTAATGTTTGTGATGGCTTCCTTCAGTCTCTTGTCTAAATTCATATTTGTCTGCATCAATGGGCTTTTTTCTGAGGGCATAGACACAGCATCTGTAAAATAGCAAGAAGCCCCGAATTAAAACCGGAATACTCCATGTTGAATCGTTTTTAATAACTAGGATTTTCCCTGTTTGGTCCTGCTTTCCTACTACACTGCATGTTCTATTTCAAGTACCTTGAGCGCTAACTGATACTTAGTCATTTGGTGGAAGGTCAGTCTGGTATACATAGCAAGTGCTAGGTCAATTGTTGCCTCTCTCTCTCTCTCTCTCTCTCTCTCTCTCTCTCTCTCTCTCAAAACACAAGGCCAGGAAAGCCTCAAATAACTTCTCTTTAAATATTCCTCCTGTCACCCACTTATCTGTCTCAGAGGCCACCATATTTTTAGTACCTTCAAACTTCTGTCCTTTACAAATAAACTAGACACACCACACCACACCACACTGCTGTGCCCTTACAGAACCCTCAGCTACAGAAAGCCCATTTCTCCTGAAATTAAAAAACGCTGGAAAAACGCTTTCCAGAGTTGATAGGAGGCACATCTCTGGGACTTAGAGAGCTTTATGATGTTAATAAATCATTTGTCTACCTGAGGACATTTCAGAGATGTTCTGACAGTCAGTGCAACGCGAGCTCCGCTAGGTCAGGGGGTCTCTGTCCATTCTGTCACTAAATAGACACGAATATACCAAAGCACCCAGGCAGAGCCAGGGACAGACTAGACACACTCTGGGTAAAACAAACTGAAAGGGGCTGAAACAACAGTGGGAAACTGAAATGTCAGGGATCTTGGATTAGGACTGACTAGATCTAGAAATTTAGGGTCTGGTCTGAATTTGAATTCTAGATGGGAGCTTCCCCCTACATTCAGTGTTAGGGGCTGTTCCCAGATGGTCATCTTAACCTGGATATGAAAAGAAGGAAAATTACTTTTTTTTTTTTTTTTGTCTTTTTGAGACAGGGTCTCCCTGTAGCTCCAGCTGTCCTGGAACTCACTATTGTAGACCAGGCTGACCTTGAACTCACAGAGATCCGCCCGCCTCTGCCTCCCAAGTTCTGAGACTACAGGTGTGCACCACCATGCCCAGCTGGAAAATTCCTTTTTAAGAGACTGAATTCATGAAATTAGAAGCATAACAAGGTGAGAGGGTAAAAGGAAGATTATGTCACCTGAGGCTTCCCCTAGGGAAGGGGACGCAGGAATTGTCAAACTTGCTATAGACGATCATGCACATCATGGCGTATGTCATAAGACACTCAATGCCCATCACATTCCTTGCTCCCAGCTCTGTTATTGACAAGAAGCTGTTTCCTTGAGAGCAAAAACCTTCCTTTCAGGGCTGGCTGGAAAGATGGCTCAGCAGTTAAGAGCACTGGCTGCAGAGGACCCAGATTTGAATCCCAGCACCTATATGGCAGCTAACAACCATCTGTAACTCCAGGTCCAGGGGATCTGACACCCTCTTCTGTCCTCTGCAGGCACTGCATGACACGGTGCACTTACACATTGTGAAGCCCTCCTCCTTGGCCCCCTGCCCTGGACTCCCGAGACCCCTGCCCCTCTTTAGGACTAACTGCTCTTTTTCGCTTCTGTAAACTGCTTGATTGCTTGATTGAAAGGACAAACTATATCGACCCCATTTTGACTAGCTGTTTCAGGCAAGCCTGAGCATGCCCAGGCATGTGGTAATCTCCACCTGCCACCCCCACCCCAGGAGGCTATAGGTCAAGCAAGCCCAGACATATGGCAGCCTTATAAGGTAGAAACAGAGACTTCTGGCTCTACAGATAACAGTCAGCACATTCCACAGCTCTGAGGGTAGCACCCACCAATGAGAAGCCCCCAGGACTGCATCCCTTATAACCAATCAATTCAAAAGTGTGTTGTGCACGTGGGCTCCTTGGGCCAATCAAAGTGTGACTCTGTTATTCCCCTCTTCCCCTTGTCTAAAACCTATAAAGTGCTTCCACCCCCTGGGATGGGGCTTTCAGCACAGATCCATTGCGTTGGTGAAGTCTGAGAGCCCGAGCTTAAGCCCGAATAAAGACTCTATGTTCTTGCATGCCCTCTAGATTCCGTGGTTATTCTTGGGGGTCCGATCTCTGGGCATAACAATATAGGCAAGCATAACATTCATACACGTAAAGTAAAAATAAATAAAAACAAATTTTTTTTTAAACTTGCTAGTTTTTACTGAGAATTGGACAGTTCAAGAAAACCATGTTGTTCCCACCAGGAATTGTTAGGGTCCGAGACTCCTTGGGCTTCCCAGGAAAACAATATGTACCAGCACAGAGATGTAATTCAAGCAAAGTCCTTATTAAGCCAGCTAGCT